CAGCCCAGAAAATTCCCTCATGCCCCTTCTCAGTCAGCCTCTCCCTCCTGGTAAGCAACCACTAGCCTAATTTCTAGCACCATAGATTAATCTATTCTAGAACTGTGTAGGGGTGCCCGTGTGGCTCAGTCGGTTAGGCATCCCACTCTGGATTTCAGCTCAGGTCATGATCTCACGGTTTGTGGGTTCAAGTCCCACATTGGGCTCTGCACGGACAGCGTGGAGGCTACTTGGGATTCTGTCTCCCTCTCTCTCTGCCCCTCCCCCATGTGCACCTGTACACGCACTCTCCCTCTCAAAAATAAACATTTTAAAAAACAAGTTGAAAAAAAAAACTTTGTGTAAATGGCACCACACCATATATACTCTCTCATTTTCAATTGAGGTGAAATTAACCATTTTAAAGCGTAGAGTTCAGTGGCATTTAGTACGTTCACAATATTGTACATCTACCACCTCCGTCTACTTCCAGAACATTTTCATCCCCCCCAAAAGGAAGACCCCATACCCCTTAGCAGTCACTCCCCATTCCTGCAGTGCATACTTGTGTGTCTGGCTTCTTTATTTAAAAAAGAATTTTTATTTATTTATTTACTTTTTAATTTATTTTTTTTTCAACGTTTATTTATTTTTTTGGGGACAGAGAGAGACAGAGCATGAACGGGGGAGGGGCAGAGAGAGAGGGAGACACAGAATCGGAAACAGGCTCCAGGCTCTGAGCCATCAGCCCAGAGCCTGACACGGGGCTTGAACTCACGGACCGCGAGATCGTGACCTGGCTGAAGTCGGACGCTTAACCGACTGCGCCACCCAGGCGCCCCCCAAAAAAAGAATTTTTGTAAAAATGTTTGTTTATTTTTGAGAGAGAGAGAGAGTGCGAGCAGGGGAGGGGCAGAGAAAGAGGGAGACACAGAATCTGAAGCAAGCTCTAGGCTCCCAGCTGTCCGCACAGAGCCCGACGTGGGGCTCGAACTCACAAGCAGTGAGATCATGACCTGAGCTGAAGTCGGACACTTAACCACCTGAGCCGCCCAGGCACCCCTATGCATCTGGCTGCTTCTGTGCAGCATATTTTTGAGGTTCATCCATCCATTGTGTCACTAAGTAGCTGCCTCCTGTCTGATGCTGAGACATATTCCATTGTATACCATCCTGAACATTTGCCAACAACACATCCCCAGTCAGTTCAGGATTTTTCTGTGCTCTATTTGTTAAGGTCCGGGCTAAGCTGCTGGAACAGAGACCCCACGGCACGGTGGCCCGGGCAAGATACAAGTGTATTTCTCCACATAACTGCCCTCAAGTAGGCATTTCTGCCCCAGAAGCTTGTCAAGGGGACTGGGTTCCTTCCATCTTGTAGCTCTGCGTTCCATGGGGTGTTGTCCTTGACCCCGTGGTCAAGGTTGGTTCACCCCCACTGTATCCATGCTCTAGCCATAGAGAAGGGAGAGGAGGCTAGAAGCAAGCTTCCTTTTAAGGCTGTCCCAGTCATTCCTTCCATGAGATAACTCAGTAAAGTGACCATCCCTAGCAGTGCATGCTGGGAAATGTAGTCTCCAGCTGGGTTGCCTGCAGCAGCTCAGAGGCAAGGGGTCAGCTGCAAAAGGACGAAGGGGAGACTGGATCTGGGGTTTGGGTGGGGTTACGGGATCCAGAGGTGTTCACTTGAACTCAGAGCAGCTGACCTGTGCCCTTCCTGCCCTCCCTCCCAACTGGGTCTGGGGTCTGCCTTAGGTTCCTATACTCTGTCTAGGCCTGGATGCTGGGAAACATAAACTTTTAAAAAACTTCTTTCTTTTTTTTAATCTTAAACTGATGGGAAGATCTAAAGAATAATACAAAGAGCATATACCCTTTACCCAGATCCACGTTTTGACATTTTCCCTTACTTGTTTTATGATTTGTATGTACATAAGCTTTCTTTTTCTCCTGTCTCTACACACATATGCCACCTAAAACAAATTTTTTTAATAGCTTGCATACATCATGGTTATTTACCCTTAATAGTTGAGTTTTTATTTATTTATTTATTTTGAGAGAGATAGACCGTGCAAGTGGGGGAGGGGCAGAGAGAGAGAGAGAGAGAGAGAGAAAGAATCCCAACCAGACTCCCACCTGCCAGCACAGAGCCTGATGTGGGGCTCAAAATCATGAAACCTTGAGATTATGACCTGAGTCGAAACCAAGAGTTGGATGCTTAACTGACTGAGCCACCCAGGCACCCTGAGTGTGCATTTTCTTAGAATATTCTCTTACCGAACCATAGTGAAGTTGCCAACCTAAAGAGGCTTAACTTGAATACAATTTTCTGTCCAACCTACTAGAGGATGTGTACTTTTGTATCAATATATCTTGTCAAAATATGCTCCAAAATGATTTTTTATATGTTGCAATTAAGAAAACATATAAATGGGGCGCCTGGGTGGCTCAGTTGGTTAAGCGTCTGACTTCGGCTCAGGTCATGTTCTCGCGGTCCGTGAGTTGGAGCCCCGCGTCAGGCTCTGTGCTGACAGCTCAGCCTGGAGCCTGCTTCAGATTCTGTGTCTCCCTCTCTCTCTGTCCCTTCCCTGCTCACACACACACACTCTCTCTCTCTCTCACGTGTGTGTGCACTCTCAACAATAAATAGTAAACTTGTTTTTAAAACATCAAGTTTATTTTAAAAAAACCTATAAACATGTATATTGCAGCCTCTATTTGGTTTTTTGTTTGTGTTTACTACATTAGATCCTAGATTACAAGGGGAATACTATAAAGGGCATTTGGGGGGATTGTTAGAGAAACTGGAAAATGGACTCTTTATGTTGTGATTGGATTGTTAAATGTCCTGGATTTGATCACTGCACCTTGCTGGGTATAGAGAATGTCTTTGGGACGCCTGGCTGGTTCAGTCAGTACGGTGTGTGACTTTTGATCCCAGGGTTGTGGGTTCAAGCCCCACTTGGGGCATGGAGCCTACTAAGAAAAAGAGAGAATGTCTTTGTCCTTCAGCAACACATTGTAAAGTACACAGGGGTCGAGGGGTATAATATCTAACTAACATATCTACCTGACGCACAACTCACTCAACTGACTCAGAAAAAGTAAATCATTTGATGATGTGTGCATATTACCTTGTTACGTACGGAGGAGGTAATGAAGCAAATGTGGCGTCAAGCTGACACTTGGGGAATCTGGGTGAAGGGTGTGCAGGTGTGGAAATTTGAACTTATTTCAAAATTAAAAGGGCTCCGTTTCTGTTTTGTTTTTAAGGGGGAGGGAAGCCTCTGAAGTGTTTTGAGCTGGGAAGGGACCAGATCAGATTTGTGACTGGCCTGAAGAGGTGCTTCCCGGCCGCTTGTTGAATGAAGGCCCGGGCAGGCAGGGTGACAGGCGGGTGTGGACATCAGAGAGAGAGGTTTATGAAAGGAAGGGATGTGCTAAGGACCAGGTGTGTGAGTGTGAGTGTGGAGGCCCTGCAGACCGGGTGACAAGGAGTTGGCCAGGGGCAAGCAGACAGCAGAAAGGATGTGGAGGGTTTGAGCATGTGAGGAGAAGGTTACACCGAGGTGGGGAGTGGGCTGTAATCACAGTAACTGAGAGTATTTGACACGTGGAATGTGCCACCACCCCGTGAGCCTGCGGGTAGAGGGTCGTGTTACTCTTGAGGCACTCTGGAGAATGGAAAAAAGGCTCACAGTCACGGTTGGTACACGGGGGGTTCAGGAGGAAGACAGGAACCTTCTCCGAGCCTTGACTTGCCCCACAGGATGGATGCCAAGCGGCGGCCGGGCCCGGGCCCTGGGGTGCCCCCCAAGCGGGCCCGTGGGGGCCTCTGGGATGAGGATGAGCCGTCTCAGCCATCCCAGTTCGAGGAGGAGCTGGCGCTGATGGAGGAGATGGAGGCAGAGCACAGGCTGCAGGAACAGGAGGAGGAGTTGCTGCAGCCGGCCCTGGAGGGAGCCGCGGACGGTGAGACCCACGGCGGGAACCCCCTGCCCCCTCTCCCCCGTGAACCGTGTCGGCCACGAGGCTCACCTGTAACCTCTGACTTCTGGCCCACTTTGAGCTCCGTGAAGTGCCGGCCTCTGACCTCACACCAGTATGCATTCTGCCTTTGTTGTCTGCAGCTCCAATTCTGACCTTCACCCTTGACCCCATGACCTCTCCCGAGTTTCCGGCCAGACCCAGAGCCCCGCCTCCACCT